GGTAAAACCGTAAAAGTGAGAAAAAAGAAGTAAGCAGTATTAATAATAGGTTGAAAATTGGAATGCAATAGGGCTATATCATGACCTTTTAACAAAAAAAAGTTGCATGATATTGAGATTCCGCCTGTAAACATTTTATAAAACATAAATGGTGCCTTCTTATGAAGAAACTAACGACAACTAAAAAAAGAATGCCCTAATTTTGAGAAGATAAACCATTTTTAGGTGTAGAGCTTACAGAAAGAGAACTGTGAAATGTGAAATCGGACTGGAACCTGCAGTTTGTTTAGTACGATGATGGAATCCGTGGAAGAAGAACGTTCAGGCGCGGACCATTGATCACTCCGAATAGTCGAGATTAAAGTTGGCGATCGTCAGACTTGGAGTACATCGCAGTCGATGTTTCCCTCTATGTTTAGGGCTATAAGTCGTTGCAGACACAGTTCCAATCGGTGGTATCCGATCGGTCCAAATCTATAAGTGACCGACAGTGAAAGAAATACGTTGAATTGTTGAGGAAAGAGGAGAAGGTTGGGTCGGAGGCAAGAGGTGGGAAGTGGAAAGGATGAAAGGATTTTGGAAGATTAATGAACAATTTTTTAGATAGAAGAAGGAAGAAAATGTGAATGTTTATCCGAGATGGTACGACTAGAAAAACTGAAGAAGAATCGAGAATATGTCAAAGTTTGAAAGCAGTCAAAGGCGGTGGAGCTGGACATACGTTCGAAAACAGAAACACGTGTCCATCCCAATGTAGATAATTACACGTGGAAACCATAAACATTTGACAGGAAGCAGCTTTAACAAAAAAACAACAATGGAAGAAAAATAAAAATAAAAAAATGACAAATACATTGGTAGAAATAACCAACATAAGTATGGGGACCAAAATTGATAAAAAAATGGGCAAGTTTACTGTTACTTTTCTTCATAACTTTAATATAATAATAATAATATAATAATAATAATAATAAAATAAGGACTAAATGTGTACACAAATATTAAGGACTAAATGTGTACAAAGTGAGAAATATATTACCCTATTAAGTCATTTTTACCGGCTAACCTGAAGTAGCCGGTCATTAAGGACTGAATGTGTACAGTTTAACAAGTTGAAGGGGTAAATGTGGACGAAAAAAAAACTCAGTGACTAAATGTGTACAAATCAAAAAATACATTACCCTTTTAAGTCATTATCCCTTTTTTTTAACTAATAATGTGATAATAAGAAATACATTTTTTTCGATAATTTGACTATTTAGGTCCGGTTGTGCGGGGTTGCGGGATCATCGTTTATATCACTTTAGATGAATTGAGCTGAGATCCTAAAACCCTGCCTGATGCTCATAAACCTCTCTACACACAGGGGTTTCGAGCTCACTGTATGGAACTATCTTCGTCTTCCCAAGTTTCAAACATATAATGCTCTTTTCTGCACATTCTCACTCATCATCGTTCACCAAGGTAACACTCGCTCACCTCCTCAAATTCATACCATCCTTCAATTCCCTTGCATTTTCATCAACGCGGTTCCGCTCTACATCACCACCATCATCACGAACACAGTTAATTAGCCACATAATAACATCATTTCGACAAAAAGACCACGATCAGCACCTGTTAAACCATTCTTCTATCTCTAATTTGAGACCCCATGAAGTAGAGCCCATTCTTTTTGGTCTACGCGCAACACCCGATTTAGCAATCAGTTTCTTCGAGTGGTCTGAGCGTCATCTAGGGTTCACTCATCATAACCTTGAATCTTTCTGTAGCCTAATCCATTTGTTGCTACAAAAACGAATGTTTGATGACGCACGCGGGGTGTTTGATAAAATGACTGAAAGGTTTAGGGATTTTGATTGTTTTCACGCTTTCCACATGGGTCTGACGAGTTATCAATCAAACGCTAGTACTGTCTATAGCTTCTTGGTCGATAACTATTGTCGAATTGGGAACATTGATAGGGCAGTTGAGTTGTTTTTTCAGATGTCAAAAATGGTTATATCTATCTCACCATATGCTTTGATGAGAATGATGAATTCTTTAGTTGATATGAACAGGATTGACATTATACTGAATGTATACCAGGAAATAGCTAATGAAACTAGAGAAAACAATGATTTGTGTCCAAATCTATATGGTTATGTTATGGGTGGTTTCTTCAAGAAAGGTGATGCTAATTTTGGATTTGAATTCCATAAAGCTATCATTGAAAGAGGGCTTGTGCCCAATGTAGTCACTTGTAATAAGATCATGAAAGGTCTTTGCAACGACAAATGTTTAGGCGTCGCTAACGACTTCTTGTCATTGATGACAGAAATAGGTCCAATCCCAACAGTAGTGACATTTAGCACATTAATGAAAGCATATTGCAAAGAAACAAAATTAAAAGAGGCATTTCAACTCTATGATATGATGCTAGTAATAGGAATCACTCCTGATCTAGTTGTATACAGTATCTTGGTTGATGGTCTTTTTAGGGCAGGAAAATTGGATGAAGGGTATCAAGTAATCTTGGTGGCATTAGATAAAGGCATCATCTTGGATGTGGTGGTTCTTAGCTCCATAATAGATGCATATGTAAAAAAGGGAAATTTACAAAAGGGTTTTGATGTTTATAAAAAGATGCTCGATGGAGGGATTAAACCGAGTGTAGTTACATATGGGATTCTTATAAACGGATTGTGTCAAATTGGGAATCTTGATGAGGGTGTTGCCATTTTTGGTCAAATTTTGAAACAAGGTCTTCACCCATCCGTTCTAGTTTACACTAGTCTTATTGATGGCATGTGTAAATCTGGGAATTTGAGATATGGCTTCTGGTTATATGATGAAATGGTAACATGTGGTTATACACCAGATGAAACGGTATATAGTGTGCTTATAAATGGTCTCACAAAACAAGGTCGGATGCATGATGCTATTCGATTCTTCTACAAAAGTGATTTAAAACATGGTATAGTTGCGTATAACACTTTAATTGATGGTTTTTGTAAATTGAATCTAATGAAGGAAGCTGTGAAGTTGTACATGAAGATGGGTACGTATAATTTAAAACCTGATATAGTCACTTACACGATTCTCATCAAAGCAACAATCGAAACCGGAAGGCTACCCGAAGCTTTGATTTTGTTCTATCAAGCCCTGAAAACGGGTCTTCTTCCAGATCGTGTTACATATAGCGTACTTATAGACGGATTTTGTAAAGAAAATAATGTTTTTATCGGGTTATGGATTCTTGAAATGATGCTGAAAAACGGAGTAAAACCTGATATCGATGTTTACAACATTCTGATTAACGGTTTTTTCAAAACCGGGCAGTTACAAAAGGCACTGGAGATTTTCGGGCAGGTTCGGGCATACGGACCGGAACCGGATATTGTGACTTACAACACGATAATGAGCGGATATTGTTCGTTAAAAATGTTGAATGAAGCTGTTGAAGTTTTTTACAAAGAGATGAAAAAGAAAGCGAATGTTGTTACTTACACAATCTTGATTGATGGATATTGTAAAGAAGGTAAAGTTGAAGATGCAATGTCGATGTTTTTAGTCATGTTGGAACAAGGTTTGGAACCTAATGTGGTGACATACAGCAGTTTGATTGATGGGTATTTCAAGATGTTGGAAATGGAAACTGCTCTTGAGTTGCATGAATTGATGGTTAGGAATGAGGTTTGTCCGAATATTGTAAGTTACAGTGTATTGATTGATGGGCTTTGCAAACGGGGGTCGATGGAGGAAGCATTAATGGTGTTTCATGGTGCTTTGAGGAGGAGGTTGTTGCCAGATGTTATAGTGTATGCTATTTTGATTCATGGTTATTGTAAGGTTGGGAGATTAGGTGATGCTGTGTTGATGTATAGGCTTATGGTTAAAGAAGGGATTGTTCCTGATGGATTTTTAAGGGGGATTCTTGCAGAGTATGGTGTGACATAGGTCTTATTTATTCATCCTATCTATGGTCTAAGGTGAGTGTGTTACACTTTTAAACAGAGGATAAATTTTCATTAGTAGCCACTTGGGTCTTGTATTCAACTTGAAAATGTAAATTTAATGATCCTTATTGACATAAGAAATTGTGTATATTGTAAATTTAATGATCCTTAATTAACGTTTAAAAAGTTAGAGACATGAAATTATTAAGGATAAGTTGAAAATTTCATCTAAAAGTCGCTAATGGATGTTTAAAGACTTAAGTTTTAGTTTGCTTTCTGGGATTTGGTTTGATTTTAGAGTTTTGATGAAGAAGATTGAGGAATTGTTTTAGGGTTTTTGATGATGAAGAAGAAGATAGCATGTAGTCCAGTGTCTTAAAACCTCCATGAAAAGATGTTATTTTCCTCTTAACAAATATAATTCAGCTCATAATAATATTTTTAACAATGTGCTAATAAGTTGTAGTACAAATTTGGGAGGAAATACAGCACCGTGAGCAAATGGAAGGTTGTAAATAAAACAATAAATAACATGATAAAACCAACCAACCAACCATTAGTTTGTTTTTTAATCAAAGACACACAAACACTGATTTCTTCCTTAATCATCTCATGTTTATCTTTAAGTTTGAGGTTTTCCAGGCCATGATTTCTTTCACGCATTTGGCCTCTCTATATCTTACCAAATAACATGCAACCAAAACAAACTGATGTTTCTTGAAATTTTCAGATAACTGAGTCAACTCGGCTATGAAAGAAGACACTAATTCAATCCAGACTTTTTACATGCAAAGTTGAAACTTGAAATGCAGAAAACAAAACCCCTGAACGATATCCAACGTGTGTCTTGTAGAACATCACAAGGTTTCTTGATGTTGGAACCCATTATTGAAGATTGCATACCGACATGATTCCAACAAAACTACACACTCAAAATATTTTTTTAAGTACCAATTCTTTGCCAAGATCATCTGCTTGGAAACACAAATCCTCTTGAACATCTATGCAAATGCAAGCATAAAATATACCATCCCACAAAAACAACCTAGAGGCTGGCTCATAAAATAACAATTTACACATTTTGCAAATCTATGTGAATTCATAATAATAAAACAAAATTTCATAAGTGAATTGATACCAAGATTACACAATCTGACATGATGACAATTGAATACATACATACCAAAATTTCATCAGATCACACGCACACACACAACAATAAAACCATATTCCTCAACTTGTCTACTACTCCTACCTAATCCTCCTCCTGATAAAACCAAACATATACAAAATTCCCATCAAACATTTAACATTTAACATATGCAAAGACAGCATCATAACAAAGCCTCCAATATTCCTTCAATGGGATCCACATCCATGGCATTTTCCCATCAACACCCGCACCAGGTGCAACTGGAAGCTTGTATAGCGCAGAAGACAAACTGTTTAAATAACCAAAAACATTACAATACAATGGTCAATGGTCAACTCTTTTTACTTTTCCCACTTACCTTATTATCACCAATACATACACCTTTTTAAACACTTTTTTCCTAAAAGACTCAATAATCTATCTTCATCTACATTATAAATCCCCCTCGTCTAATTTGTTATTTTCAAGCACACCTCAAATTTAAGAAAGAAAAACTACAACGTGACATTGACATAAAAGCATGGTATTTGAAGGTCTAAAAAGTAATATATTAATTAAGGGGGGTTAAATGAAAATAATTTTGGAAATGCTTTTATGGAAGCAACCTCTCTATCCTCGGATGGAGGTAAGAACCTCGTCTTGTTATGGGATTTGGGTTTTGTTGTTTTAATTTGTATATTCATTTTTATTCTATATATTTCTAATAACTTAGTTACTTAGTCAAAAAATAATAAAAATATATCTGATTAAGCGGAAATGATGATTATAAAAACTCACCTTCTTCCACTGAAAACTCCATACACTGATGAGCTAATTGATGATCTTGAAACAGCAGAACGTAGGTAACTAAAGTGTGGCTTCACCAATTCTCCTGAGTGAGTACCCAAACAAGTTCGTGTAAGATAGATACATTGTAACAATTTTAAAAGATTTAAATGAGATACATCAAAGAAAACATAGAATGCAAAATCTTACCTAGACTATAAGAATAACTATGAAGAGATGAGACCAAAACATCTGATCCAACACTTTCCTTTAAATCAACAGAAAATATCTGAAACCAAATCCCACATGGGAATCTGCTTGGTCTCAGCAACCAAAGGAAGATTTTGGTGTAGGGAGTAGCATGGATTACAGATATAGCAACCTCAATAATCATCAATATAAACCCAATTGTCGTATACATAATAGTAAACGACATATAAAAAGCTGAAGTAGTTGGTAGCACAAGCAGAAGTGGAGTAAACAACAGAGACCCAACAATATGCTGTTCCACTGTGTAATCATAGCTATCTAACCTCTCACGAAGCGGATTCCATTTTTGCCCCCTGTCATACAATTCAAAACAAATTCAAAACCATTCAAGGGTAATCATGTCAAATTGTCAATTACCTACCTGAAAAGGCGCCACAATGCTGTCGTTGCCTGTATCTGCCTCGAATAAATGAGCGATATTAACCAATGTAGGGTTGAAATATGTGTTGTTGAGATAGTAATCAAGTCAAGTGTTGATGCAGCAGGGGTTGTAATGCCAAAAATAACCCCGCTTATCGCTAACCCTTTAATTAAAAAAATAAAAAGAAAACGCATGGAGCCTAATACTGTAGACCAAAATTGAATTGCATTTAAAGAAAGAGTGCCAAGAACTCCTGCAAGCTCAGTGTTCAACTTAAAACCAGCAGGGTTTCCCATTAATCGTGCACAGCTTATGAGCCACCAGTTGTTTGTAACATCACCAGTGAAGGTCAAAATCGTCAAACAAGCGGAATTTGCATGAGTCAGCAATGTAAGGCCAAAAAGGTTCCCTAAGAGGATGTCGATGACTACACTCAACCACATGGAATGTCTGCGTTGTGAAGCTTTCTCTGCATACTCCACACATGATCCGGACCTTACAAATTAATATCATACAAATAATAAGTAGAAAAAATAAAAAATAAAAAAGTACAAAAACTATGTCCAAGTCAAGATTACCTGGAATCATTTGTGTGAAGGAAGATTGGCCAATACAAGATTTGACAACATCGGACACGAATGTTCCTTGAGGTGTGAGGGAATAAATTGTGTAATGTGACATATATAAAAGACTCTAATCCATAGCTTATAAGAAAATGGAGTAGCTGGAGAACTATATACACGGATGTGGAAACAGAAGCAACAAACACAGCCAATAGTTGCCATATCAAAGTGATGAACTTGAAAACGAGAACATACAAGTGTGAAGGTCTATGAGGTGACACTTGTTCTTCAAAAAATGAGGTGGCAGCAGCAGCACAGTTGGTGGCAAGAATGACAGTGTCCTATACGAAAAATAATAAACATTAGGCAAAATGTGAAATTATATAGAGAAGAAAGAAATGGATCACATGTTATTTTTTTACCAAGTCAAGAACAGGCTTCTTTTGGTCAAGGTCTTCCACCCACTTTGGTTTTCTTGAAATTTTTTTGGCATGATCAGAAGAATGTTGGGTGCCCAAGGAGAAATGGTGAGACCCAAATCTAGGAGTTCCATAAATTACTATCTGATTCAGAACAATAAATAGTAAATATCAAGATACAAACATGTTCATGATGAAGCTAAGGTCTTCATGACTTACATACGTGGAGATCAAGATTGGAAACAACTTGCTCATTCCAATGTATGTGATGTAATTTAGGAATCCATCCCAATTTTCTACTGGTGTGGATATAAGAGCCACATACAAGTGGGATTGAATCGCTTTTTGTGAAATCTTTATAGTGTTGTAGCAATCCATCAACTTTATGGCATCCACAGATCTGGTGTCTACCTTTATCCTCTGATATAATTTGTTCAGATTGTTGACCCAAATGACCATTGCTAGAAGAGCTTGCTGAACAATAACCAAGCATAGAGAGCCCACATCTATTTTGTAAAGATGTTGGCATTCTTTTATTTATCTTGTGAAGTATCCCCTAATCAAGAAGATAAGTATGAAACAGTTGTTTTAGCGTCAAACAAATACCAAGTTTAAGTGCATTTTAAGGTGTACAAGGTCCAATTCTTCCATCTGAAATTGGGTCCAATTTAGATTTTAGAGCAGAGTCGTTAATTCTAGGTCAAATTCTTGAGTTTATTATCAGTTTCCTAATGTACTTGTTCCACATTCGATCACTATTAAGAGCGCGATAAATTGCTAAGAGAGATTAGCGGCATTGCTTTCCCGATTTCGATTTACAAAATGATTCAGTTTCGTGCCCAAAGAAGGGTACATATGACCTAATTGTGTATAAGAAATCTAGAACTGATAAGTAGTGTCATTCTCATTGTCGGGAAGAGGTTTATCCACTCAATTGTTCCGACCACAACCGAGAAAATGAATCAATGTGCGTAACTCTGTTCATACAAAGATAAACCTAGCATTGTAACGGAGAATTCTCAACAAAAAGGAGTTGAAAAGTATTTGATACCTCGAGATCAGATCCGACAGAAGAGAAGGCAGCTTCATCGATTAAAAATGCTACGATAACTTCTAGAGGAACAGAAGCAGAGGAAGAAGAAGACGATGTAACGAACCAACCGAACAAGAAGGTGGAAGACTGTGGTTGGGTTGTTGGGGAGAGATGAGCAGGCCACCAAACCCTACACTTCCTCTTCATCGTTTTCAAAATACTGGAGCTTCGGAATTCTCCCATGTCCTCATCGTGATTAACAGGGAGGCGCAGAGAGAAGTACCGCGGCAGTAGACGATGGATATCAGTGGCGTGAGATTCCGCACTTGGAATTTGGGATCAATAAACCGTCGTTTAGTTCACACTGTGTGTGACTGAGAACTGAGCATGCAAAAGACCAAGTTGCGAAAGGCCCCCAAATGGGATCGGTCCGACCTATGGTGAATTTCTTTTTAGGGATGTTGTCAAAATAATAATAATATGACAAAATTGCAAAAATGTATATTCAATTTTTGGGTTTTAATCCAAACCACGGCTTTTTTGGATTGATGGTCCTTTTAAGCTAGATTCGTTGCGTTTTTGGTCCCTCCAAATAGTGAAATGACTATAATACCCTTAGGGTATTTATTTTTCATTTTTCTTTCAATTTTTTAAATTTAATAGTTATTTTAATTATTAAAAAAAGAGGGGCCCACCTCTCTCTCTCTCTCTAATCAAAAACACACTCCTCTTCACTTGTTCTTCCTCCCGTCGATCCGGATCCACTTTTCTGAATCCCTACATAAACATCGATCATAACTCAATCAGAAACACATAAACAGAAACTAAATATGAGCTAAATGGTATTTCCAGCAATCCGATTACAGCAACGCCTGTTCCTTCACAAGAAACCCGTCATTCTAATTCCTCCATAACTCGACCTCAGACTATCAACACAAATCTTAACAGTCGGTTGTAAATCCTCAGCGAAATGCTCCCAATTATCTCTGTTGAGAAATTCTCTTGTTGCAGAAACCCTTCACAAGGTTCCGGCTCCAGTTTCACAACGCTCTAGTGGGTTTGGTTCTTTTCGTGGTCCATCGTCATCTTCCTCAACCACCTGCAACTTTGATTTTTTATTTAGGTTATGATCAGTTCTTGAACACATAACAGGTGCATCTCGATTTATCCTTTTACCCCTGAATCAATCGGAGCAGATCACCAGAATACCTTTTAAGATCTCACCGGAGAGGTTGCCACTGGATGAAGATGAAGCAGCTGCTAGTAATGGAGGAGTGATGTTTTTTATTGTCTTCTATACATTCCTGTCGTATCTTTCTCGTCTTCCAGGTCCAAATCAACGACCCTCTCTGATGTCGTAATCCCGTTCTTCATCTTGGACTTACATCCCCTCTCACCGCCTCCTTCTGAAATCACCCATCAAGAACCCTCTATACTTTCATTCGCCCCAACACACCACCAATTTCGTTACTTTCGTATCATCCTTTTTGCTAATCTGATTTTTAATGGCTTTGAATTATATGTGAGGTGGGGAGAAGAAGATACGTGGGTTTTTTTCTAGAGAGAGAGAGAGATGTGGGCCCAAATTAATTAATTATTTTCTTTTTCATTTAAATTAAATAGAAAAAAACATAAAAAATAAATCAGAAGGACATTACAATCATTTCAGTTTACCAAGGGACCAAATCCAAAACGAAACTAGCTCAAAAGGACCACTAATCCAAAAAAAGTCGGGGTTTGGACTACCCTTATAATGAGATAGGTAACGAAGCATGAATCATCATGGAACGAACCATGTCCAACAAAGTTCGATTACGCCTCTCAGCCACACCATTCAATTGTGGTGTCCTAGGTGGCGTCAATTGCGAAACGATTCCGCATTCCTTGAGGTAGTCGTGGAATTCAAGACTAAGGTACTCACCACCTCGATCGGATCGGGGCATCTTAATCTTCCTGCCCAACTGATTCTCCACTTCCTGTTTAAACTCTTTGAATTTTTCAAAGGTTTCTGACTTGTGTTTGATTAAGTAGATATAACCATATCTGCTATAATCATCAGTGAAAGTCACATAGAATCGGTATGCATCCCTTGTGGTGGATCTAAAGGGCCTACACACATCGGTGTGTATGAGATCCAATAAACCCTCACCCCTT